GGCAGACTGTGTGGAGATGGTCACAACCCAACAACCCACCAGGGAGGAGATTCTTGCAGATCTACAGCCAAAATAAGAGATTTGAGAGCAACCAAGAGAAGCTCTTCCCATTCCCTTGGTGGAATTCTGACTGAGTCTAAGCACTCCTTCCTAAAGGATGTTTCCTTTCCTCAAGCAATGTAATGGTTTGAGAACAACACTTGACCTCATGAAGTAACTCTTTCTTTTCATACAAAAAAAAACAACAGGGCGCTTGATATTTTTTTACAAACGGTATATAAAAATTATTACGCTATAAACTGATATGCAAAGGCAAATGTTTCAAATTTAGTCCTGGACTAACTCTAATCTACATTACAAAAAACAAAAACAAAACCAAAACAAACCAACAACAACAAAAAACAACAAACAAACAACTCCCTCCAAAACAAACAAACAAAACCAAACAAACAAAAAAGAAGCCAGGATATCATACGTTAATTAAATCCTCTTTATATACCATAGGACCCCTACTTGGCATGGTCAGGGAATAGTCTATAATCCATTCACCCAGGACACACAAGGGTTTTGTCTGAGGAACAAAGTATTTTTACCTTGCCTCAGCCACACCCCTGTGTGATCCTCACTGTAGCAGGGGTTACATCTGCACTGGGAATTTTCTCTCAATATTCATTTGCTAAAACACAGCAGCAGTTTTTTGAAAGAGTGGCAAACTGATTCCGTGTGGATCAGTAATGAGAGCAGTAATTGCCACAGGGCTGACAATAACTTATGCAGAAGTTCTCAATTGCTTCTAATGGCCTGTCAGAGGGTGAAAGGGAACGCAAAGCAGATGATAAAATAAACTCCAGCACAACTTCTGAGAACAACATTCTTGACACTTTCACTCTTGCTAAGAAATATGAAAATAAAAGAAGCTAAAGTAGCTTCTGGAGAAGAAGTAAAACTGCACAATTATCTAGTGATTCCTCCAGAACAGATTTTGTGATTGCACCAGAAAATGAAAGCAGGTTTTCCAAGATTTTACATCCATATCATAAATGAAGAATTGTAGGAGAACAGAAACTCCAACAACAGATTATTGCTCCTCCAGTTCGGGTTGGTTGAGCAATATCACAACTACTGCTTCAAAACCACAGAAATGACAACTGTTTCCACCAGTGTCAACTGAGTGTGACTGGGGCACAATAATCTACTTACTCTCCTCAAGATAACACCAGACTGTGTTGTAGATGTTTGGAAATGCAATTATGCTACAGTTGAAGGACTTAAATTTGGGGATGTCTGAACACTAATAGCTGAAAATGGGAAATAACAACTAATCTAAGAAATACAAATGGAAAATGAACTTGTGAGCTCGTAGTTGCCTTTTATACAGCAAGCTGCATTCAGTACATGCATGAGACTATTCCCTTACACAAGGTTCCTGAAGCAGTTCATGCATTCTAATATTTTTGGATGTGTAGATTTGATAATGTATTCCTCCTTCACAAGCATCAGGACAAATATTTTGCACTCAAGCTGCAGAAAACACTTAAATGCTAATTCTGTTACTGCATCAAAAGTTACAAGTAGGTTTCAGGAGCCCAAAAAGGAAGAGTTATATTAATTCTAGAAAATAAATGTGACTTTAACTTATTATACTAACTAGTGAGGTCACTGGCAGATAAAAGCTGAGGATATATGAAAGGCAGATATAAATGTATTAGATATAAAGGCAGTGTATATGTACACTACATTAAAAAAATACACAAAGTGGTGTTTCTCTGCCACTGTGTCTTCCCAGCACTGTGTCTCTTATTTTCATCCCTTAATCCCACAAAGAAAACTGTCACTTTAGGTGGTCACAGCTTTTCCAGTTAACCCTAAATTGGCGAGCTCAGACTACTATCAGTGATGTTTGAACAAATTAGTGTGGAAAGAACAGTCTTGTTGACTCATTTTCAAAATGAAAATGCATTTAATTTAAAAAAAAAATAAAATAAAAAATTAGAATTTGGAAGAGGAGGCACCTTATATGCTATAAAACAGCCACACACCAAAAAATAGCATCTTGTTACCCAAAGGAGACTTTCTGTTGAGCTGTGGACAAACTTGCCTGTCACAAGCCTTGTATTTGATGTTACCATCAACCAGCAGAATGAAATACTGACAACTTTTAGGGAGAGGAAAGAAAAAAAAAAAATTAAGAAACATCTAGAGAGAGAAATTCTTTCCAGGGAAGCTGCCCATCACCTAGTGAGCCTGTGGACCACCTTCAGCAGCTGTGGGCAGGCACCACAGGCCCTCCCCACTGCTTCCATAAAGAGATCCAGGGGGAATCTGGCACCAGGGATCAGCACTGCCTCCCACCTGCTCCCCCAGGAGCACCATCGAGGGGCTGGACAGCACAACTACTGACTTATCCAGAAACTGCTGGAGAAACATTTAAAGAAGAGCGTGGAGGAGCTGGACAAGATCAAGAGTAGAGAGTTAGCAAGACATGTCAGCTCCCCTTCCTGACATCAGGCTGTGCTTCCAGAAGTAAATATACTCTTTTCAAGAAAAAAACATAAGCCTTGCTAATAAATGTACATTTCAAAGAATTATTTTCACTCTGGGAAGAGTCAGAAAAGGAAAATACAGGGTTTTCAGGCTTCCCAAGGGAACATTTGTCACCTCTTCCAGTCACTGCATAGAGATTCCATATTACATCCCATAGGCAATATTACCCTCTCACCTCAACAAAATGAGATTGGGCATAACTCAAACTGCTGCAAGGATATTATATATTGGATTTTTTTCCATATTCTCCATTAAAACAGCAATGCACAAATGGATCAATGTGTAATGAATGTGAGATTCAGACATTTCACAAGACATAAAGCTTTCGAGCTGCTGCCCTTTCAGAGAACTATAATCTCCTGACAGGCTCGTGTTTGGTCTGAATCCATGTTCCTGGGCAACTCCAGGAACAGTTTATGTTGTTCAGTAAATTGGTTTAAGTGTAGACAAAACAGAATCATTTATTTCTTCGTAAAACCTTGGTTGAACTGAACTCAGCATTAGTCTATAGCGCTCTCAGGCACCAGGTGGGATTTTGAGATTGTCCTGTGCAGGGCCAGGAGTTGGAATTGATGATCCTGTGGGTCCCTTCCAGCTCAGGATATTCTATATATTTTATTCTGTAATTGGTTACTGAATGCTGGGCAAAACCATCAAATCCATCTCAAGTGTAACTACTCCCCACTGTACCAAGGCAAAAATCAAGCTTAACATGTCCATTTTCCAACATTTAGGACTCTTAAAAAGGATATCTACCAATAAAACAAAGGTATCCTTGGCAGCAGTTTATGATATACTGATCTTAAAATGAAAGAGATTTATTTATACAACCGTTCAAATATAGACTTCCAAAAATGTAGAAGACCTCTACAATGTGTTCAAAAAGCTGGATTACAAAGATATTCACTAACTTGATTTATTCTCCTTGTGTAAATCAGGGTAAAACCTTCCAGGAAAACAATCCTAAAAACCTAGGGAAAATAGCGACCGGTGAATAAAATACTGTGCTGTGGGAAAACACAAACATATTTTCCCAGGCTGTGCTACTGAGCTTTTCAGACTATCTCAGAATCTCAGCTGTGTCATACTTCCCCAAGGGAAAAGAAACATTTTAAGTGCAGTATCAAAATAATAACATTTAAAAAAAAAAAAAAATTGTCTGATGACACATCTCCCCTCTTGCTAAAACCTGTAAAAATCGTATTTTTAAAACTCCTTTCCCAGCAAATAAAATAAAATATGAAGGTACTCTACATCCATGTCTGACAAAAAAAAAAATCTAAACTAAATAATAATTTGTAAAGCATCATTCATTGTTTATATTGTCCCCAAAGTATTCCACCATGGCCACTTATATGAGGTAATAGCAATAAATAACATTTTCTTCGATTAAAAAACCAAATGACTCCTTTATCTTTTCATGCCTAAATTGAACACCTGCTGACTCAATAGTCACAGATTCAAAATTCAGTGAGAAAGCAATAAAAGATTCCCAGTTGTATATAAAGGATTAAAGGACCATAATCCAAGAGCTGTGCATGGCTACGTGCTTATTCTGCTGGTGAATGGAAAAGGAAGAAGGAAGGGGCTTCAAGGAAAGCAGCCAAAGGAGACTGCAGCAAATGTAAAAAGCATTTCAGGGCTATATTTAGAGGAAGACATTCTTCCTACATTTGCCAAGCTGCTCACGTCATTTCACACAGCATGTTTTATCCAGCTTTATAAGTCTGGGAGAGAGCAGGAGGGGGACAAAAAAAAAAATCTGGATCAGTCGCCAGAAATGGAAATCTTGCATTTATGGAGAGGAACGAGTATTTTAAGCATGTGAATTCAAGAGTACTTTCCAAAGGGGGGAAAAAGGGGAGAAGAAAAAAGGGGGCCATGGAGGGTGTTAAAGCTCTGCACAGACGTCACAGAAGGACTCTGCAGAATATGGTTTATCAGTAACATGAGTTTGCCTCCAAAACTCCCTTTTGAGCCAGGCTCACAAGCCTCAGCCCCATCCCTAAAAATACTTAAATGTGTGAATTCCACTAAGTTCGAGTCTTCAGCTGGTAAAAACTAGACTTGCCCGTGTTCCTGTGGATTGGATACATCAGTTATATAAGCAATGACATATTTCTCCTCTGTGATGTGGTAAACCACCACCCAAGATGAATTAAACAAACACCAAACACAGAGGTGGAAACGGCAACAAAAACACTCCCGTTCGATAAGAATACTGTGCTTTTTTCTTAGCATGTGTCACAAGGTGCAGGATTTGCATAAAGAAATGTCAGGATACAAAAAAAAAAATATGTCAGTACCAGATGTAACAGCATCAGGTACAAACCACATGGAAATTTCCTGTTAGTGACCTTCTGGAGAGCAGTGATGGCATTGATTTGAGATCGACATTCATTTAAGGACTGGCTTTACTTAAACTCACAGAGATGACTTCTATAAAAAGTTTTTACCTTCATTCCCTTCTCCAGGTGGCTGATAAAACGAAAGCCCCAAAGATATGATGGCTGCAATTTCCAAGATTATAAGAGTCACATCCTGCAACGCTTCCCAAACTAGCTGTATGAATGTTTTTGGCTTCTTTGGAGGTATAAAATTTTTTCCAAAAATAAGCTTTCTTTTTTCTAGGTCCGCAGCAGTGCCGGCTAATCCTGTAAATAAAATAAAATAAATCAAATTAAAATTCCAGGGAAATAGAAAATGCCCACTTGTATCTGCGTTCCTATAAATTACTTTTTTAAGGAAAGCAACAAACTGTGTCACCTATCAACAAACACCTATCACATATCAACAAACAGGTAGATATTCCACTTAAATGTTGCTTTTGCAAGATGATTTGTCCTTGTGTTCTGAACAGAATTCTTACGGGCTCCATTTAATAAAAATTCCTGCCAGATTTAATCGTAAAAAAAGTCTTTGAATTAGGAGATTTATTTTAATAAGACCAAGGTACATAGATACACATGTACACGTAAGCAATGACTTCTGAAAACAGATCATAAAGCACAAATAAATAATATTTGGGATGAAGCTGGAATAGCTGTTGGCAGCTTTTGGAAATACCAGTAGAAGATGACACTTTCTTCTGAAAGCAGATCGATGAACTCAAAGTATAAATCAATAAAACATGCCTTGTGCTGCTTCAAAGCAACCCCTCTGGTTGCATGTGGACTGCAACTCATCACTGGAATGAACTGCACCACATTTTTGTCACGTGAAGAAAGACAAAGTGACAGGTTCTATATGCACAGACAGGGAAAAAGGAATGGTATGGTTGCTTAAATTGATATAAAAATGCACATATTTTGAACGACGCTTCAATTTAAGATCATTTCAATTTAAGGATACAGGATAGGAATGGGTGGTTGTGCTGAACAACCCACTTGGGTGGGGGGCTTTTTCCTATTTTTTTGATTATATTAAAGTATGAACATCTAGTGACTTGCCAGGGGGAAAAAAAAAAAAAGAAAAAAAGACTTTCAAGCATGAGGGTTTAATAACTGAGTCCATATATCTGTCTCAGCAGCATAAAGAACTGCAATAAGTGTTATATATATCTGCCAAATAATACCTGATATCATAGAATTGTTTAGGTTGGAAAAGACCTTTAAGATTATCAAACCAAACAGTGCCAAGGCCACCACTTAACCAGGTCCCCAAAGTGCCACAATCACAGGTCTTTTAAATCCCTCCAGGGATGGTGCCTCCACCACTTCCCTGGGCAGCCTGTTCCAATACTGGACAACCCTTTCCATGAAGAAATTTTTTCTAATGTTCAATTTAAACCTCCCAGGGTGTAACTTGGGGCCATTTCCTCTTACCTCGTCGATTGTTGCCTGAGAGAAGAGACCGACCCAGTTGGAACATTTATAAAACTACAGGTTTGGCTGTGATAGAAGTGTCAAGTTGTTTATGCTTATTCACCCTTGCATGACACCTGGAAAACACTGAAGTTCAGGGCTCGTCTCAGGGGAACACAAAGGTGCCTGCAGGAGAGCAAGAGGAAACCATGGACCCCACACTGGAAGGATTCCTCAGCTCACGCAGTTCAGGGTGAGTCCTTGGCTATCCCAAATCCTATCACCACCCATGGGGTACATCAGGAATGGGAAGCCCTAGAAACATCATCTTCAGGACATCAAGGAACACCAGTCAGGCTCCCAATGTGCTGAGAGTCCCCACTGTGTGTTTGGGTGGCCCAGGACCCGCGCCCAGCAGTGTCCCTGTCCCTCTCCCACCCCTCTCAGGTGACAGCACTGGGCCCAAGCACTATTTCCCCAAGATGAAAGCGATGCTGTTCTGAACATATCAGTCCTGCCACAGTCCAGGCAGATGGTGACTCACCTTTCACTCCAGGTGTATAATTACAGCTGCTGTGGAGCTTCTGCCTCTAGGTTAACTCATCAAACTTTCATTTTACCTTCAGCTTCTAAGAAACACAACCCTTCTCCCCCAGATAAAGGCACGCTGTAGTTATTATTACCTCACTTCATTTAATTTTCAGTACCTAGTGCTCAGTGACGCTGTGACAGCTTCCAGCAGTCATGAAATGTGTCTGTGTTATCTCCCATGATTCAAACAACACTCCACTCCTCTGAGAGCTCCCAGTCAGCTTCCAAGGCAGGGTAAACCCTTTCCCCACCCTGAGGAACTGCAGGCTCTGAGCCATGGGATAGCCTTTGGGTGACCCAACACGGGTTACAGAAGTTAGGGCAGCACAGGGGAGAGAGCAGGGCAGTCACTGTGGGATCTGACACAGGGACAAGCCTCCAACAAAAACCAAACAAGTGCAGTCTGATCAGCTTGTAGAGGCCTGCAAAGCCCCTCAATGCAAGGGAGGAGTTTCACTAAAAGTCAAAGAATCATAGAATCCTTAAGGCTGGAATAGACCTCTAAGATCATTGAATCTGACCGTTAACCCAACACTGCCAAGTCCACCACCCACCCACGTCCCCAGGCATCATGTCTGTCATTGTTTTTAACACTTCCAGGGATGGTGACTCCACCACTTCCCAGGGGAGCCTGTTCCAGTGCTTGACAACTCTTTCAGTGAAGAAATTTTCCCTAATATCCAACCTGAACCTCCCCTGGTGCAACTTGAGGCTGTTTCCTCTTGTTCTGTCCCTATTTCCCTGGGAGCAGAGCTCGACCCCCGCCTGGCTCCACCTTCTTATCGGGGAGTTGTAGAGAGTGAGAAGGTCCCTCCTGAGCCTCCTTTTCTCCAGGTTGAGCTCCCCCAGCTCCCTCAGCCCTTGTAAAAAGGGCACGCACGATTTGCATTATGCCCCCAAACACAACCTACTCCTCTACAGAGCTGACTTCATCCAGAAAGGGATATTCCCCGGGCAGCACTGACAGCTGTGGGGGCAGAAATTTTCACCTCGTGCATCTTCGAGCAGCAAAACAAAACTCCGAAACAGAGGGAACTTTAAAGGGCGTTTGAAAATGGAAGGAAGAGACGTCGGAAAAACGCGTTTTCCAACCCAGAACATATGTGCTCAGTGGTGGGCCAGCTCCAGCAGGTCAGCACACGACTAGGGACTCACCAGCATGGAAGGGATGGCTGGAATGGTACAGGAAATTGCTCCAGCATTTTTCAACAATCCTCATCACGTTCACTGAGACGCGACACGTGACTTTGAAATTGTGCCTTACACCTCGTTGTCAGGGTGGAATGCAAAGCACACGTCTCCTATCCCATGTTTATAAGGGCTGTTGAAATACACCTACATCCCAAGAAGCCTCCAAAGCAAAAGAGACACACTGGAACTCGAATTGCTGCTTTTTCTCTAAGACAAAGATTCTTCATTTAGACATCATAAGGCTGAGGATTAAACTGAGTTTAAATGGTCATCATCATTTTCCAGACTATAGTCTACGTAACACCTGTTGGAATTCAGACAAATTTTACTTTGCTCTTTCATTTTTTTATAACAAATATTATGTTCCTTAGGTACCACAAATAGACAAGAGTAAATTATGCATATGATTTTACTCTTTTCTGTAAGTCTATGTCTTGGGGAAATTACTCACCCAGTCTCATCTAAAAAGCAGAGTATATTCATCTTCAATAAAGAAATTTATCTCCTTGTAAATCATCTACAAATCCAAGAAAACTAAATTCAATGTTCAGTTCAAACCAAGCACTTTCCCTTCTCCAGAGGCTTGGCCAACACTCAAAATCCCATTCAGCAAAGTTTTGGGGCTTTTTTTTTTCTCCCACTGACTACCAGAAACAAACTCCCAAATTGAGAGAAAGAGAAAGGAAAGGGGAGAATGAAGAAATCTACAGACCACGTGATGAAATCAGATCATAACAGTTCTAAGCATTACTGTAGAGACAAGGTCAAAAAGGGACAGAATAACAAAAGGTCCTGAGGCGGGACACACAAGGATCATTGTGTCCAGTTCCTGGCCATGCCCAGGACACCCCAACAATCCCACCCTGTCCCTGAGAGTGTTATCCAAACGCTCTTGAGCTCTGGCAGCCTTGGGGCTGTGCCCACTGCTCTGGGGAGCCTGGGCAGTGCCCAACCAGCCTCTGGGGGAAGAACCTTTCCCCGAGATCCAACCTCAGCCTCCCCTGACACAGCTCCAACTGTTCCCTGGGGTCCTGTCCCTGGTCCCCACAGAGCAGAGCTCAGTGCCTGCCCCTCCTCCTCCCCTCCTGCAGGGACAAAGTTCCACAGGGAGATGCAGCTCCTGGAAACGGGACTGAGCATCTGAGGCAACGCGAGATGTCGATTTGGAAAAACTTCCATAAATTCACATTGGTTTTGCTGACAGAACATACAAGGGGAGCACTCTTTATCTTTTCCAAGTATCCTGCTTTATTCAGAAACGTGAAATAGTCCTAAAGGTGCTCTGAGCAAGCCTGAATTGCTGGGGAGGATTAGAGGTGGCGGGGGCTGCCCGTGGCCCTGGCAGAGCTGCGGGAGCTGCTCCGACAGGCACCACAGATGGCAAACACGTCAATTAGCACAGCAAGGGCTGCACAGGGACATCTGTCCTCACCAGTACTGTCAACCAGGAGATGGCTTTCCTGCTGCTAGACTGGTTTATGTTGGTTTTTTTTTCAGATTACACACACTGACTTCATCACTGTTCCTGAATATTGTATTTTTATTTCTCACTTTATCCCAGGAGACCTGTGACAATGAGAGCATTGCAAATGAAAGCAATTTAAAATATCGTTTCTATACGGAGATATAAAACATCTAAGGGAGTGAAAAACAACCAATGGGGACTAAAAAAACCTGCATGGAAATACCAGTTTCAATATGACTTCAGATTTCCTACGTTACTGGCACAAGCATCAGCCTGTGCCAGTCTTATATTCTGTATGACCCATCTGATATTCTGTATGACAGTAAGTCACAAACTGGCTGGATTTATGTTCATTTCTCCACACAAGCATTAATATTTTATTTTGTAAGTGCTTTTCTAGGTCAAAGTTGTGCAATATTACTTGATCGAAGCGTTTTACAATAGACATGCAGATTAGGGTCAAATTTGTATACAAATATTATACACACATCCAGGAAACACTGTGAAAATTTATTACTGATGCTTCCAACACTTGAGTAATTTCTTAAGGTTTCAGTTTCCAAAATTTTTCCCCCAAATTTATTTCAAATTTGTGGTCGAATGA